ATGTTCTTCCTGTCCCCCTGGGGCTTGTCCAGGTCACGAAAAGGCTCTTTTTCCCAACTGTGATGGGCAGACTGCCCAGCTGGCACAAGGGCTGAAATCCAGGAGCCAGGTTTTCTCCAGGAGCATGGGGCTGGGTACGCTCCTCCAGGTGCACGAGGACAGCCTCTCCAACTCCCCTGTTTGCAAGCTCAGATGTAATCTTTTTCTCTCACTAGAAAGCAGCAAAGGCTCCATGGTAATAGCTGCTGGGGTAGTTCCAGCTACTGCAATGCAAGAAGGTGAAGAATTGAGTAGCGAATGAGGGACTAGTTAAGGAAATTGAATAGATTCACACAACAGAATGTGTCCTAGCTTAAAAACAAAACAAGGCTGGGTGCGGTGGCTCACGCCTGTAATCCTAGCACTTTGGACTTTGGGAGGCTGGGGCGGGAGGATTGCTTGAGGTCAGGAGTTCCAGACCAGCCTGGGCGAGACCCTGTCTCCACAAAAAATAGAAAAATTAGCCAGGCGTGTGCCTGTAGTCCCAGCTACTCAGGAGGCTGTGGCAGGAGGATTGCTTGAGCCCAGGAGTTTGAGGTTGCAGTGAGCTATGATGACACCACTGCACTCCAGCCTGGGCAACAGAGTGAGACCCTGTCTCCAACAACAATGAAGCAAAACAAAAGCGCCCCCCGCCAAAAAAAGCAAGGCAATGCTGCATGGTTTTTCCCCCCTATTTTTCTCTGTATGTTTTTTATTTTGAACAATCCTTAAGATATATGTCACACGCACACACACAGAGGGGACAGGTAAGCAGCATATGGTATACTCTCATTTTTGAAACATAACAAAACACCATCCAAAACAGGTGAGTGTAGGGGCAGACTTCCGACCTGGGAGGCTGGATCGCGGGGCTGAGCGGGGTTGGCTCTTCATGGATCCGGATCCTCGCCCCGGAGGTTCGCCTCTCCCTTAATTAAGACTCCGGGGTTGCAGGCACGGAGGCGGCCCCGGCGTTCTCCGGCGGAGGACCCTCTGGCGGGCAGCCTCAGTTTCCCCACGGTTGGAAGCAGGCTAGACGACCCAGGGGCCCTGGCCCCGCCGACCTCATCGCTCCGGTTGCCCCCGCGCCCGGGGCCGGGCAGGTGGGGCGCCGCGAGAGTCGGGGAACCGGAAGTTGCAATGAGGCAGCCGGGCAGGAAACGCGGAGACACCGGCCGGGTCGGCCGGCACTAGAGCGATCCCTCTGGCTTGGCAGAGATGGCCTCGGGGGGCGCGGACGCTAGCGCGCAGGTGCGGGCCGCTGGGCGCTGCCCGGCGGGACGAGGCTGAGTGGAGGGGCGCGGCCAGCGCGGCTCCAGCCAATCACCGGCGTCGCCCGTGGGCACGCGTGCGGGGCGGAGCAGTGCCGTTGCCCAGGCGCGGTGCCCGCGTCCGCGCTCTGTGGCCGCGGTGCCCGGCGGCGGAACTGGCGCGCGTGGGGCTCTCCGGCCTCCCGCGGCTCCGACTGTGTCCTCTCGCGGCCGCGTGGGCTTCGGCGACCGGGTCGCGGGGTCGCCTCCGCGCCTCCGGGGGTGAGCGGGCCGCGGGCCGCTCGGCCTCCCACGCCCTGGTCTACCGCGGCCCTGGCAGGTCTTAGATAATTTTCTTTAAAAAGTTTTTATTCCCTGGAGCCACACCTATTTAACGCTCCTACTGATTTCCCTTTCTTCTTCGATGTTTAACGTTTGCTCCGCTGTTTATTACTCTTATTTTTCTTTACCGATCTCACATTTCTTTATTTTCCCCTGTGGTTCCCTGTTTCCTTCCTAGGGCTCCATCTCTGCATTGCGTTAGGTGCAGGTCTCCAGCCTGGCTTAGCCGCCTTAATTAGTACCAGTTATTTTGTTCTTACTTCAGATGATTTTTTC